TTTAGTTTTACAGAAAATAACAGTCCCAAATGCTTACCTTGTCTAGTCTTAAGCAGCAAAATGGTACTTTTTCATGAAGGAGATGACAAAAAGTGGGTGAACTTCCTATGTATGGAGAGTAAGGTGGGTAGCCTTTAGCATATCTGTAAAACAATATGAAATGCCTAATTACCTTGAATAATGCAGGCAAAGTCTGACAAATCAGTTGTAGTCACATTTCTCACTTTGATAAAGTTAGATGTAGTAACGCTTTGTATTGCAATTATATTTTGATAAAGAAACAATTTGGAACAAGGGCCATGGACCAAAGCTGACTCATCACATGGTTTTGTGAACTAGTTTTCATATGTTTAAATGGTTGGAAAAAGTCAAAAGAAGAGTACTATTTCATCTCATGTGAACATTAAATGAAATTTAAATTTCAGCGTCCACAACTGAAAGTCTGTCAGAATACGGCCATGCTCACTCACCTCTTCAGAAACAGAGTTGAATAGTTGAAGCAAAGACCATAAAGTCTAAAATATTTACTAACTAGTCCTTTCCAATCTTCAGTTTAAAAGATTTAGAAAGATTTTAGAAAATAGCAATGTTAATTTTATTAAAACATATTTAAAGCTAAATTCATTATTATGATTCACTCTATCAATATTCATGAGTCATGATTTTTTATTTTTTTAAGAAAAGAAGAGTAAATGGTTGAGTGAACTATTCCATTAGACCCACACCAAAACCAGAGTTATTGGTGAAATAATGTTTAAATATTATCAAAGATATTTGGTTTGTTTATTGACTTTATAAGATAGTCACCTGCACATTATGGCTATAAAATTTTCAAAGTGAAGCTATCAAAGTAATAGCATAAATGAAAATTAAGAGGTAAAAGACAGTTTAGTGGAGGAAAAGTTCTTTTATCCAATATGAAAGCTCTATTTTGATGAAGAAAATTTATCTTTCAAAGCAAGAAATTTCAAACCTAGTTAGAACTGTTTTTCAGACATCATTAACTAAGAGAGTAAAATGGAGAATATTGTGCAAATTTAGAAGTTGACAGTCTTCTCTATTACTTCAATGTCTTTTTCATTTTTCTAGAAATAAAAAATATTCCACCTCTCAATTTTTCTGAAGTACATGTAAAGAAAGAATTTCTATCACAGCACCATTTCTAGAAATATACTGGTGGTCAAACTGCTCCTTCTTCCTATCAAATATTTTATAAATCTATTTGAGTATTATTAATTTCTTAGAGAGTGAAATTGTCTTCTGTGGATATGTCTAAGTTTCTTGTAATAAATATTTGAAAGTGTAATATGTAATTTATGTAATAAATAAATATGTATTTACTTATTACATACAAATAAATACATGCATACAAATACATAATATTTATTTCAAATAAATATTTGAAAGAATATTTGAAAGATTAACAGAAGGATTTTTCTGCATTCCAATTATATTTCAGTATATTTTAGCTCAATTCAACATTAACTGAACTTCTATGATATGAAAAATATTAGAAGTGCCTGGGTGATGTTACCATTACCACCAGACTAGTACTACACCTAACAGTAACTGATACTCACTGAATGCTTACTCTGCACAAACCATTGTTCTAAGTACATTCCTCCATTATCTCAATTAATCTTCATATGAACCCTATTTACAGATAAAGCATTGTAGGTCAGATGATTTTAAACAAAGCCACT